CAGCAGAAAACAAAAACTTTGAAAAAATAAAATGCTGCCTCTTGAGGAAAAGGTTGTATTTGGTTTTGTGTATGTTTTTTGTGATATGATAGGTAGTAATGTGTATGAATACGGTAAAAAGATTTTTTTTTATTTGGAGGTTGCTTACATAGGTTTCACTCAGTAAAGCAAAGAGTTTAATCAAAGAGGTTTTTGCCACTTCCAAAGCATCCACCCTCTATGGAGAGTTAATCGACCTCTTGTACCCTGCAGAAAGCTAAGATGGACTCCTCTTCCAGGAAGAGGTTCTCGCTTGCTGTTTACTGTCTACTATTCATATCATTACCAAAAAAGGAAATTTTTTACAAATTGAAAAGTTGTGGGAAAGAGTTTTTTTTTAATAATTTTATAAATTATATTTAGTACAGTATATTATTATTTTATAATTAAAACTTAAATTATATTATATTCTCTTATTAAATAGTTTAAGAATTTATTTTTATTTATGATAAAATTAAATTTGAAAATAATAATAATTTTGTAAAGTTTTGAAATATATTTTATTTTATTTTTTAATAATAAAGAAAATTGTCAAATTTAATAATTTCTATTATAAATAAAATCAAATATATTAATTTATCTCAAGTATATAATAAAGAGATTAATATTTAATAGATTAATTTTTATCTAAATTTTTTATTAAGTTTAACAAATTATTTTTTTTTATAAATTCTTTAATCTGGTTTTTTAATTTCACATATATTTTTATAATCTTTTTTGATATTTGTAATTTTGTTAAATTTGAAAAACCTTTATATTTTGTTTTTATTTTTATAGAAATAATCAAATATAATTTTTGTTTAATTATTTTTTTTTTAATTCTAATTGCTATATTGTAAAGAAACATTTAATTTTTCAAGTTAGTAAAGGATCTTAATACCTATTGGATAATACAATAATGTTTATTAATAAGTTTGGCAAAAATAATATATTTGATCTCATTTTTATTTATGTTAACAGATAGGTTATAATCTTTTATATCTGTTGTAATATTTAATATTTTTGGATGAATACATTTTGTTCTTGTTAATATTTTGTGATAAGACTATCAAATAGAAGAAAAAAAGGTTGAAGGTTTTGTGAAGTGAATCTTGATGATAAAAAATAGAATTGATATTATAAAGAGATTGGCAAAGTTTTTGAAATAGGATCCAAAGAGTGATATCACGTGATCATTAAATGATTTGTGCTTATTATATGACACTATGCGGGGAACAAAGTTTTCTATTCAATCTTATAATTTATAGATACTATTTGAATTGAATCCTGATATTTATTTATATAACACTTGAGACGATAAACTTTTTCGCCGCAATATTCACCACTACCCAAATACTCTCTATATAATTTCTTATAATTTTTTAATGATTTTATACATATAGGGCAGGATATAGGCATGTCAATTATTTATATCTGGGCAAGAACTCATGACTGGACGGCGCGAAAATGTGACAATGAGGTGAAGATAATGAAATTATGGTAACTATCACTTTCGCTTTCCTGAAATTAATGCTTGATCTCCTATCTTTTCCGGGGCGTAAACGCTCTGATAATTGCATTTTGAATAAAAAGGAAACTGATTGAGATAATATGAGGAAGACTCGAAGGAATGGTGATAGAAGAATGTACATCGTGGTATAAGCAGCTTAATGCAATGTTTATGACACATGCACCTTGCGGGATAGCTAAAGGATTTCCATTCCCGTCAATGGTGCCGAATTCAAACTAATTATCAATTATAATTTATGATATTAGCCAAATCCAAAAGGATCAGTATAGTTGAAATTACCGTGGTCCTGGCAGGACAGGTAAATCTTGTTCTTCTATCTGAAACACGATAATGTCATGCCTGTAATAAATTATAATTTTTAGAATATTATACAAATAATAAGATTGCTAAACCGTAAAAGTACGACTTACTATCATATGAGTAGGTATTTGATCCTCAAGAACCGGTTCAGTTTTCACAACAATGGCATCATGGACACGATCAGGCTTTAGCCAATAGTTCTTCACTTTGTCTGTAACATGATCTATTGTCTCGGAATATGCAACTTCTATAATCATATTTGGCCATGGGCGAGTCTAAAAAACAAAAGAATATAATATGAACCTCTAGTTTAAAGGTGTTCAGTGAAAAAAACACAAGGTACCCCTTTGTCGATTCTGTTCGGAAATTCTACTTTTGGTTTTTTCGGACGAAATTAATTGTCGGCCTCTTTTGCAGAACCATCAGCATAGGTCCTTTTTGCAATTAAAATTGGTATTTAACAAGCATAAAGTAAAGAGAATTAATTAATGATACCTACTAGTTGATCCAAAAACATAAATCTCAGCAGGAGTATCATCAACATTTCTGCAAGCAATACCTATTACCTTAGAAATTTTGTGAATACAAACTTCAAGTGGTTCTGAGGGTAATTAATAGATTATGACATTGCCGTTAACCCATTCCCAACATCCAGGGATGTTAAACTCGTCCGACCGCTTTTCATATTTTTCCAAGGTAACATTAACAGCAAGTTTGTAGGAAAGTGATTTACATTGCTTTCTTCCCAATTTGCTTTTTGATGAAAATCGCCTTTTCCTCACCATAAGGTTCTATAATAGTGGCATTCAGGCAATCAAAAAAGAATAGCTCTGGAAAATTAGTTGAAAGATTAGAGAAATACCAGTTATGCATATTTACTCACGCAGTGGTTTTAGACTTAGCGCTTGCTCCACTAACATTGCTAAAAGTTCGAACAAATGAATATCCATCCTGGTTGGTGTCTGTTGCCATTTTGATTTGGAGAAGATAGTTGCAAGCGAAAAGAGATACTGCTGAAAGTAATTTTTTTCTCACGAGGCAAGGCAACGAAATTTATCGTATCACGATCGGATTGTTTGTCATAAGAGCGCAATAAGTTATTTTTTTGTTTTCAAAATCGTCACAAACTTGCCAGAGATAGTCGCATTCTGATTATTTCTCACAATTTTATATGAAAAAATGGTTATCGTGACTGTATACATATTAATTATAGAGATATACGGTAAGAGGAAAAATTGCATATCTCGGATTAAGTGAAATTAATCTTTAAAAAGTAGTTTATTCATTATAACAAATTAGAATGGGAAATAAAATTCATTATCAGTGGAAAATACAGAATCAGAGTATATACACCCAAAAAAATATGTGGGATTAATCACTTTTATTTATTTAAATATAGCGTCTCCAGTGTCTTAATATGCGCAGATTGAATGATCCGATTTTCTATAAGTTTCGCCAGTATTTAAATTGTAATAATAACTTCCATCATCGTCATCGGACAAACAATAGAACATATCATCATCAGAGGGTTCAGAGTTATTAATTTTTTTTCTCTTCCGATGATGTAGTTTTCATAGCAATAAAAGACGGCTATTCTTTTTCTGATATTACCAAATAATAAATTGTGATCCCAATAATAATCACCTTAGAATTATTAAGGATGTAAGACATAAAAACCAAAATATTAGGATTATTTGTTAACATTAATTGGTGTTTCATCTCATGAAATCCTTCAGGATTGTTAAAGTTATTATTTACACATAATACGCGAAATAAAAAGCGTTGGTATGAAATAGGAAAGCTTTAATTGTACAGTGGTTAAAGTAACGGGTTAGAATTGACCATTTTAGTTAATCAAATAGTTTTCCTGCAACATATAACGCAAATAAAATTATAATAATTAGATAAAACTAAATCACAATACAATATGAAAAGGTTATTCTAATATCATAGGAAAGTTACAATAATTTAAGTCGATTTAAACCTGAGTCTGTTGCATAAGGTTTTAAAATAAAATTTGTCAATAAAAATTTAGAAATGCCATGAACATTATACTATTAACAGTATTCACCTGCATTGTCATCCGATAACATTTCAAGTGCTTTATCGTAATTAGGGGCATTGGTAGGTTGTGATAAGTTAGAAAAATTCAAAAGCCTGCTAGTATAAATAGCATTTGGGTGCGTTTTGTAATTAAGTCCCAAGTTATTATTTGGTGATTTTTTTAAAACTTCACTTTGGTAATCTTTAACTTTTTCTTTAAAATCCGAAGGTTCATCTCTTTCGATCAATATAATCCAATTGTTTATAGTGTGCCATATTTCTTTAGCATCAGGTCGGTTCGATGGCCTGGCATCCCAACATTGCATTATTAATCTAACTAAAAATTTTGGAGTTTTAAATGGAATTTTTGGACGTAAACCTTGACAGATTTGTACAGTAAGATCTTGATCATGAGGAATATTATAGTATGGTGGGAATCCTGTAATAATTTCGTATGCTAATATTCCTAATGAATAAACATCTGCTGCCGGTGTGTAAGCATCACCGCACAAGACTTCTGGTGCAATATATGGAAGAACCCCGTAAATTTCTTTACGAGTCGAGTTTCCTAATAGCTCACAAAGACCTAAATCTGAGATATAAGGTTGTAAATAACGATCATATAAAAGATTTCCAGGATGGAAATCTTTATGAACTAGTTTATTCATGTGCATCTTATTTAAACCTGCTGAAATACGACGCAATGAATCCAATTTTAATTTTAAATCCATCTTGTAAAAATTTTTGTCCAAGTAATTCCTAAGACTCCCATTTTCTTGAAACTTAAAAACCATCACATAGCATAACGACTCAGGTTGTTGCGTAATTCCATAACACTTAACGACATCAGTGAACCATAGAATAGAATGTTTTTCAATCTAAAATTTAAATAATTATATTAATAATAAAATTATACAGTAGCTAAACGAGTTTAATTCTTTACCTCATTTATAAGATCTTCAACTGAGTTAAGCTTTTCTAAGCTTTTTAATGCCACTTTTATATTAGGACATAGCCTAACCCATTTCTTATTGAGAACATCCCATTTTTCAATAAAACCATCTACCCATGTCGCAGAATACACAGTGCCATATCCTCCTTTAGCGATATATTTAACATCTTGAAATCGTGTATAAGGTATCCATTCTAATACATTACTACTAAAATTAGCTTGAAGTTGAGATTTTTGTATGAATTCGTCGATTCTTTTATTTCCACTTGTCCATTTATCAAAATCCCGTTGAAAACGATTTTCATTACATAACATGCACCATTCGTGTGATGAAAATTTTTGATTACATTCGGGACAAGAACCATAAAGTGACATATTTGATCTCTTTATTTCCTATTGCTGTAATGCTATATATGCATTGCATAACGTTACACGACACAAAATATAACTCGTAAGGATTATCTTTATATAATACTGTAACTATTAAATACGTACAGTATATCCGTGTGGTTTATTTCTATTGTCGTGGGCTATCCGGCGAGCCCACAATGCTTTTCGTTACGTTTGGTTAACAATAAGGTAAGTTTCTTCTTTACTCTTGGACGTGTCTTCGATTTGATCGATCTTACTTTAACCTCTCTATTGACTAATCTAGAACCCTTCCTATGCCAAATCCCTTAGGAAAACCTTGATTTTCTCGCTTAGTCGTGTAGCACGAGTTATAAGTATTTCAGGCGCACTTGAAAACAAGGTAAGAGTTTATTTTAAACTGTACTTTATTTTTTAATGTTGGCGTATTCTAAAATCTACTTAAATGCTACTGAATTACGCATGCATTTATACATGCTATTTTACACTATTCTAGGATTCCCACCTCTAAATTTTCCCTCCGTTGATCCTAATTACGTAGCGCGACGGCGTGTCACGTTACTGCGTCTACTTTTTACCCCACGACACTATACACAGCGCCTCAAAATTATCTGTGCATTTAGAAAATTTTTTATTTCATTAAATTTATACGATTAATTTAACAAAACTATATAATCAATAAAGTTATATATTTTTTTTTATTTAATATTTATAAGAAAACAATTGTACAAAATGTATTAATTAAAAAATAAGCCTAATTACGGTATATACTTAAACATTAAATATTATGTGTAAATAAAAAATTGTAATTACTATTATATTTAATAAACATATAATTATATTTTAATCTAAATAACAAATTTATTTAATATTTTAATATATTATTTTTATTTATCCCTTAAATTGCAATATAGGCAATTTTGCTTGCATATTTAAAATTTTAAATATTAATTACTTATATTATAAAAAATATAGTTTAAGATATTCTTTATTAAGTTTGTTAAGTAAAAAATCAAAATTTTATTGGAAATTTTCAAAATAAATAACTTTAAACTTTGTGTTTAAAATTTTATTATACTAGGAAATGGGAACCATTGTAAGTCCGAAGCATTATATCGATATTATTAAATTAATATAATTAAAAAATTTTATAACGTTTAAAATAACATGTATATCGATAATAATTATTCAATTAATTTAACAACTTTCATGCCTCTAAATTGACTACATCAAGCTAAAGTGGCTAGAAATAAGCGCTATGCATAGTGATCCTTTTTTCACATATTATATGCGATCGCTAAACATATATCTGGCATATCAGTTATAGCATAATCTCGCGCTTTTCATAATATTATCAAGTTTTGGATCAAATTTTTACTATTCGTAATGCCAGCCAATAATACTCACAATAAAAAATTATATAGTGCATGGGCCGAAACAATAACGATCGTTTCCATTCCCTAATATTTATTAATGATTAATAAATATAATAAAAATTTTGTATTTTTTTTAAACATTTTTTTAACTTATCGCATTTTTCACATTTTTTCACATTTTTTCAAAGGTTAAAAACGCACATAATAAATTATCGCATACATATTTTGGATTGGTCAGCGCATATATGCGGCCTCCCTACATTAAGCATATTTCTGTCATGTTGCATTATCGCGTTAATAAACTCTTAAATGCATGCCCTGGAAGGAATTTTAAAGTCGACATTTTTAAATTAAAATATTGGCTAAGTCGACTAATGCTAAGAATACATAAAATTTATATTAACAATTATCATTATACAAATAACGAATGATTGTAAAAACTTACCAAACAATAATATAATCCGCTTTTCTGAAATGCTCCTTTTTGATTATATTTGAGATATTAGAGACTCCAATCGCTTTTCTTCTTCCTTTCTTTCTTGTATTCTTTTGCATGACTTAATTCGTTCAAGTCTATTGAATGAAAATGGCTTAAAAAGAATGTGCTCGAGAGCACAAACACGGGATATTGCAACAAATGCAAGACCAGCAACATTTTCCTTTTTTCCTAGATCTATAACAGCTTTTTGTAGTGTTAATCCTTGACTTTTATGGACAGTGATAGCCCAGGCAAGGCTAACAGGAATTTGTAATCGCGAACAAGTTTCTCCATTCATATCCCAGGAACGTCGAATAGGAGTAACTGGAATAACCTTTTTTCCTTCAGAAGATGTAATCACAGAACTAGTATAATTGTCAAATTCTATAAGAACAGCAATTGGGAGAAAAGGTGGTCCTTTGTTTTCTTCAAATAGAATATCATCGATTGTCCCTAGTGAACCATTAACTAACCCAGTTTTTATATGCAAGTTTGTTCTAAGCATAACACGTGCACCCCTGGCCAACAACAGTTGTGATTCAAGACCTTTCGCCATATCAACATCAGCTGTAGAAGCTCCATTACCTGTATGAACAGCACGAATTATAGCAATAGGAGCATTTAGTGATTTGAGTTTACTTAAGTTAATTTCATTAACATCTGTCCTTCGGGAAGTAATGTGTATTGTATCTAAAAATCGGTTGTAATTTATGAAAGAGGAATCATTGAAACGTGCAGAAAGCTTTTTCCAATCATCCATTACAGAGTCACCATCACGTAATCGCATCAAAATATTTCTAAATTCATGTTGTTCATATGAATTACCAGATTGTCGATGAATTTCTTCAAGCCGATATACCTCTCGAAATTGACTGTATATTCTCATACCATCACTTGATAATAATTTATGACTAGGATTTTTAGCATACATTGGATCATCAAGCACCGGAGGAAGCTGACCAAAATCACCTACTAGAATAACTGATCTACCACCAAATAACTGATCTCGATACTCAGGAAATGCCATGTGTAAACGTAGATCAATTAAAGCAAGCATGCGGCGACCTATTATGCTTTTTTCATCTATTATCACATAGCTTACACCATTTAATCTTTTTTGTAGATTATTCAATCGTTCACCTTCTATATTAAAATTAGTGCCACTTATTGGAATTGAAAGAGTTGAATGTATTGTTGCTCCACGAATATTAAATGCGGCAACACCAGTTGGTGCAATGACAATTGCAGGAGAAGTTTCAATATTATTATTCCTGGCCATCTCTCGAAGTCGTTTCCGAATTGCATTAATTAGATATGATTTACCGGTTCCTGCAGTTCCCATGATTATAATTCTTAGTGGTTTGATCTGATTATGATTTGTAACAACAGTATTATAATGTGACTCAATTCGTCTAAATATCTTCATCTAGATTCCATTCAATGTTTGATAATCTATATCACAAAAATCCTCAACACTAATGTCACCTTCAAAATAAGATTGCTGTACAAAAGTAGGTAAATTAATAGAACTTATATTGGGATATCGTCGTTTAACATCACTAAACCAGTCATGATTTTTATCGACATCACGGTATCCTAAGTCAGGTGAACTAACAATTGCATTCGGACCCATTTCTGACAAAATCATCCAATCCAATCGCATTTCTTCATCACAATCATCAGCTTCCAGTTGTTCATCATTATCAATATCATACTCAGCTTCCATATTATCAACAGATGAACCAAGTAGATCAGTAAATTTATCTTCTATATTTACAAGATTACGATTGAAAATATCAGACCACGTAAAAGTATCATTCTCAGTTAATTGTTGAAAATTTCGATGGGGAACATGAAGTATAACCTTTATTCGACAAAATTCATCCCAATGTGGACCATTACGTTGAGGTGATGGTCTTGGCCAAATGCGTACGATGTTCTCACGATCACATTTATGCCATTTACCTTTATAAAACTTGTATCTTAAATAAAGCTGAAAGAGAGATGTATCCTCCAGTTCAATAGGTCTGCTCCAATACTTTTGCAAAGAGGATTGTTCTGTTCGACCAATATCATTAGATGCTATCTCATCTGTATTTCCAGTTCCACAAAGCCATCGAGGTGATTTATCATTAAGATTCAATGTAACAAATCGACGGCTTGAGTGATAAAGAGGGATGCCAAGAAGCAGATGACAGGTTTCTTGTGCAGAGTAATTACGTTCAGCTATAGTATGGAGTAATAAACGTTGAAATGATCCAAGAGAAGAAGCAGAAGGCTCACTTTCACAAAGAATCTTATTTAAAATTTCTGAAAAAGAAGAGCGCGATTCTGATTTGGTAGTATATTTGGTGATATACTGTAGAGCAGCATGAATATTAAGAATGGGCTGAAGATCAACATTCGCGCGCCAACCTTGAAGTTGAAGGCGATTATGGGGGTTTGCATAGGGATCATTTCTTGCTGTGATCAGCTCCGGTTGGCCACGATCATTTTCATGAATAAAGCTACATTTAACAATATCCTTTGGAAAACCAAATCTACAATACTGTTGATCCCTTTTGACACGAAGACAATAGGAAGAACTACACCTTGTATGTCTTTGTAGTTTATTAACAAGTTCAGTATAATCTTGCAAATCGTCACATATTTCAGTACTATCTTTTTGGCAAGGATAATGGTCGGGTACTGGAGTATCAAGACATGGATTTATTGTAGTAACCAAAGAATCGAAATAGATCAAGACTCTGTATATTAACTCTTCATTATCTTTCATACTATCCCAATCAATTAAAGGTGCATCTTTTATTTTTCCGATGCCATGGACATGTGCACTCCCTCTACTCTGCCACTCAAACCTGTACCACCAGTCCTCTAATCCCCACTTAGGAATCAAAACGGTTTTCAAAAATAGTTCAAAACGTTTTTCAAAAAACCAGGCAGTGATATGTGGATTATTGATCAAATCTTGTCGTCGACGCTTGCTTTGGTCCTGTTCTGATTGCTCTACATCTATTGGATCCGGCATAAGCCTGTGGAGCTCTGGCCAATGTAAGTCAGCAGCACTAAAGGTAAAAAAAACCAAACCTTGTACCCCTAATTGTTTGATCATATCAGACAATTCTAAATTACGCTTTTTCCAGAATTGTCTAGTGCCACGCAAACCTTCGCCAAAACGCATGACATGATTTGCCAAATGAGTATCGGTCTTGATCATTTCCTGAACATCTTCAACTGTGAGCTGTCTGTCATTTAGACCTTGCTTGACATAAACTTTACCTTCCTTCAAGGCACACTAACGCATTTGAGAATTAAAAGAGTGATATCGCCATCGGGGATGACGTGCAAACCTTCCATCCTTATATCTTAAGAAATGTTGAAAGTATTCAGCTGGATTAACTTCTCTGGCACGACCTTCTAGATAATCAGCATCACCAGTCGGATATAGAGTCGGAAAGGCACGAGCGATATACCCAGGGGTATTAAATTCATTAATAGTATTGGCATCGATGGTTGGCCACATAATATGATTAGAATCTGATTGTATTTGAGTAAGAGCATTATCGATGACACGTTCTTCACTGGGTGAGAGAAACGAAGCCGGAACAAAATTATGTACAATTATATCGTCAGTGTCACCATCTATACAATTGTCAGATACATTCGAACAGTCCTCATCTATATGTTTAAGACTATTCTCTACATCTTGAAGTTGTGGAAGATGCCTATCCACAGGACCATTTTCAGGTAAAGAACTTAATACATTGTTATCAATTGTAATGTTGGTATAATAACGATTATGTTTCTTTAGCCAACATAGTGCTTGTCTAACTCTATCCCGGCAAACAGTAAAGTTCTTGAATGAAGTCGAATCTTCTGCAGACTGGCGACGTACAATAAGCATATTCAACGATGAAGGATGGCGGGGAAGGTGTGATATGAACTCATCTAAGTCTTGTGGAAAGTTTATCATATTTCCACGATAAGCGTATTGACCACCACGAAGATAGTACACTGATATGATAGGAAAAGTCTGAGCAATTAGCATCTCTTCGATCTCAGTGAGATCCTTTAATTCCTTAGGTACAGGTCCTGGGTCCATGTTGTTGTCCTTAGAAAACTTTTTTATCAGACCTTTATCATTGTAACAGCGACGACACATCGATCCTTTGACAATATTAATTGATGGGAAGTATTCATTGCACACAGGACAAGATGAATTCTTGAGTTTGTTCATCTTTTTACAAAATTTTTGCAGAAGCATATGATCAGAATCGGAAAGTTGTTGAATATTATCTTGAAGATTCAGATGTTCATCTGGCAGGTTATCCTGATGATTCAAACATTCATCAGCATTCTTCAAGGCATGTTGTTGTCTTTTTCGTCGTTTTTGGTCGCGATCTTTAGCTAAACGAACTTCACGTTGATCGGTCGTTTCTAAGGCCCTTTTTCTTCTCCTGCTCTCACGCTCATTAGCAAGACGCAATTCACGTTCATGCAGAGTTTCCGCATCCCTTCTTCTACGTTTACTAATATGGTCAGCAACACGACGTGTTTCACGTTGTTCATGATTTTTACCATCTCTTGTTGAATCACCGGTTTGACTAAGTTTCTTTTTATTTTTCATTATATAGACGACAAAGTTTAATGAAAAAAAAAAAGTTAAAATACTTTCTTTTATTTAAAACAGTAATAAATTATTTATTTAAAATGTTAATAGATTAAACTTTTTTTACTTTTTTTACTTTTTTTTTTATTATTCTCACTCCGTTATTATGTCATAGATGACCCATGCGAAGATGTAGCGCATTAGTGTAAATTCATTTACCCTTTATTTCGATCTTAACGATTCACCTGCTGCGTAACATGTCAGCATACAAACCCATTTATTAAAGCTATACCAAGGCATAATACATTTTATAGTATATGCCTACGCATAGATGTAGCGCATCACACTCAGATGGCTTACGCGAGTGTGTAGCGCATCTTATCATAGATGGCCCACGCAAAAATGCATCATCGATGGCCTACGCGAAGATCATCATAACACAGATTGCCCACGCAAAGTGTACACTCTCATTATAGTTTACTTCATGTCGGGAGCAGTAGGTAAGAGTAAAGATAAAGAGCAATAAGAGCGGGCAGTGAAGGAACGAAAGCACTAATTGGATGACAATACGCAAAATCACATCCGGACTGGCAATTTCATGATGATTGGTGGTTCAAATGTGTAACTACACAAAAGACGAAATCTTATTTGCCGATCAGACGGACAGACAGAATGACATTACATAGAAGTATAGTCTTCAGACAATGGACAATACGTAATAATAATCTAGTTGATCTACTTGAGAATTTGCACAATTATCGAAAAAATTGATGATTTATTTATTTTTTTTTTTAACTATATTGATACTGTATGTATGCGGAGTATAAAATTTAGTGAGCGTGCAGACAAACAGACATTTGATATCACTATGCGTAGAAGTATAGGTCCTACATTTTGTTGTAACTATATTGATACTGAGTATAAAATTTAGTGAATTTTCATTGGATGATATGGCATGCGGACAAACAGACATTCGATATCACTATGCGTAGAAGTATAGGTCCTACGTTTTGTTTTAACTATATTGATACTGTATGTATGTGGGGTATAAAATTTAGTGAATTTTCATTGGATGATATGGCGTGCGGACAAACAGACATTCGATATCACTATGCATAGAAGTATAGGTCCTACGCTTTGCTTCGGACAAAAAAATTATATAAAAATTAATATAAGTTTAAAGTCAAAAAATTATTTTACTTCTAATACAAGTTAAAATTTATATAATTAAACCATTAAAATTGTAATAATTAGAGTAATTCTTTGCAAATAATTCTACAAAACTGTTTATAATTATATGTAAACTTTAATTTAAAAAAATTTTAAGTTTGTCTAAAATCAACTTTTATTAAAAAATTTTGCTTATAATTAGGCTTTAAATTTTTATTAAATAAATAAAAAACAAATACTATCAATAGATAATATACTGTATAATTAAAGCTAATATTATATAAATTTTTAGAAAATTATTTAAATTATTTAAAAAAATAATGAAAAGTAACTGTTAAATTAAACAAATTTAAACATTATAAAAAAAATAGCCTATGATTTAAGGGATAAGTAAAGATATTAAAAATTAATAAATTTGAGTAAAAATATTAATGCAAAAATATTATCTTAAGTATAAAATAGTAAAATGGAATATAGTATTAATTGAAACAGTACTTATATTAGAATAGAAAAACAAAAGATGCTTTAAGAAAAACAGTAAAGTATTTACTAGTCAAGAAAAATTAAAGAGAAAAAAAAAAGATAATCCAAAGAGCCAGAATATAAAAACTTAAAAACAAAATGAAGCCATATCATAAATAATAAAAAAACTAGAAAACTCTAAACAAAGAAAAATCAAAAAAACAATTAAGTATATTTAAAAATTAAAGAAAAATCAAAAAAATATAATATTATTACCTACTATTAGTAATGCAATTATCCTAATAGAAGTATTTAATGCAATAATAAAAATAAAAACTGAACAAAAAAAAATTAAAAAAAAAATGGCATTAGAAAATTATATTAATTTAAAAAACAAAATATATGAAATAATAAAATATTGCTTACTTGTTATCTCTATTATAACTATAGTAAAAATAAGGATTAAAAAAGTTATATTGGAGTTGAGATTAGTAAAAAAGAGCTATCTAGAGATTAAAGCAAAGCCTAAACTTCAAGATTTTAAAAATAACTATAATAATATATTTTGATCTAAATAAATATATATATTATTATTTATAAAAAATAATTATATGTTAATAAAATTAATAATAATGAATCTTATAATACAAATAATAAAAAAAGACTCTTTCTACTAATTCTTTTGCCAATCCAAAAAACAAACATTTCAAAGAAATTTTATATTTCTTTGTAATAAAGTCTATATACTTTCATTAACAATATTACTATCCAAAAACAATAGTCTTTCCTTACTTGTTTCTTTCTTTTTTTGAAATAAACTTTTTATATTTCAGTAAATAAATACAAAAAAAATCTATCTATAAGGTTAAAGGCAAAAACACTTTATTAGAAAAAAAAATCTGTAGAAACATTACTCTCCTTTTTTCCTCCAGAAGTTCAAGACTCTGGAGAAGATTATTACAAACTTTTGGAACTCTTCTTTCATTTTCTTCAAACCCTTCTTTTATCTTTTCAAGTGTGTAAACTTTTTTCTGGTTTTTCTAAAAAATTTTGCCTATCTCAGTTTGATTCTGAATTTTTGGTTATACCAGAATCTTTAAATGATAATTGGCTCAAAATTTGAATTAGTTAGTCTGTATGTAGCAAAAAATATAAACAAGACATGTAAATTTCACATGTTTCATTTTGTTCAACTTATTCGATAATATAATTAATGACAGTAAAAAGAGCAAAGCAATAAGATATACTCTTTGATAAAAGAAATAATTTGATACTTTTCTCTTTTTTTCTTGGACTGGTTTTGTTTCTCTTTAAGATTAAAAGAAGATTTTATTCCAATTTAGTAGTAAGTTAGCTCTTTTATTGATTATTTTGAAAATAGTTAAAGAAAAAGGTCTTGAAACTAGAACTAGGAAGGTTTTGAGGTGGCCAACCTTTTCTTTGCGAGGCTTTGTGTACATCTGGTAATTACAAACATGAGAGCAGTTTATCCTTTTCTTCTCCCTTCTTCCTTTCTTCCTTTCCCAAATCCCCTTTCCTGCCGATAAACAGTTTCCCCTTCTCCTTGAAGATTTTCTTTCTAGGCTTTTCTTTCTTTTACCACTCCATTTCATCAACCCTCTGGTTTGTTATCTTCCTATCTTAACCAAGCTATCAACTTTACTCAAGTTGACGTTTTACTTGCTCAAGAAGTGTGAGCTTCTTTCCAAGATTTCTTCCCTTGTCTTAAAAAGCTTAATACAGAAAAGGTCAATATAGTTCTACTCCGATTAAAAAGTCAGAATTGTGAGAATGGGTCTCATTATTCTAAAAGTCCTAGACACACCTTTCTATAATAAATAACTACATGTCAAGTCAGTCAAATGCGAGAAGAGGTTGTGAAAGGAGGAAATTTGACTGGCAGTACTGATCGTATAAGGACTTGCTTTGCTAAGGGTCTAGACTACTAACCAATGTGTCAGAAGCATGCAATTATGAGCAACTCTATCTTGAATACTTGACAATACTATCATTCCACATATCACTCAAGAAGAATAATCATGGAACTGTTTTTTTGTTTTACCCAGCTCCCAAATTTTTTATAACAAAAACCATAAGCAGCTTACCCCTATCAAAAGATTGACGTAAGCCAATTATGCCATATTGGTATCTGGGTCACCAATATGGACAGGATCAGTGACCCTTAATCACACCATCTTTGGCCACATGGTTACACGAGTCCAGGCTACAATTCAAAACCCAAGCATTGCACCACTCTTCACCATCATTACTTATGAAGCACATATGCAAGGTTTATAATACAACTAGAAGTTAGCTATTTTTACCTTTTTTTCCTTTTCCCTACTTGAGTTTTCAAAGGTTCGTGTATGTCAACTTTATTTGTATTAGGCTAGGATTAATCTACTTACTTTGTATGTTAAAGATTCTTAATGTAATGACGAAACGAAAATTTAATAAATGTCTTGCATTTAATGCCTTTTGCAAAAAAAAAAAAAAGAGGTCTTGAAACTATTTACTAGTTAAATAAAGCCATAAATCCTTGAAAAATCAATTGAAAGAGAAATCGTCAATTAATATCAACTCTCTTTAAAAATTAGAAGTCTCAAATATAAAGTTTTAAGAAATACTTTTCTGGAAGTGCCCTTAAATATTCTTGGTCAACAATAGAATAGTGGAAATTAAATAGTTTTCCAGCTACAGATTATTGGACTAGATAGTAGTTAAGAAGAGTTTTTGTTTTATCAGTACAAACCTTTTCCTCTCTTTTTTTTCTTTCTATTTTTAAATTTCTTAAAAAAAATAAAATGTTTTTATCTCTATAGAATCACAGTAGTAATATAAGGATGGGCTGGCTGTGATGTTTTAGACTAGTAGAAGTATCAGAATAAAATTAAGCAATTTTTTCATTTCCTATTATCATATCTAAAGACCATAGGCTTATAATAAGTATGTTGCATAAGCAAACAATAGTTTAGTATTTATTATAGTATTCTCAATACAAATGTATAATTGTTTTCTTACAAATTGAATTAATAAACTAATAGATATGCAATTGAATTTGGAGTAAAAAAAAATAAAAAAAAATAATACAAATGATGAGAATGTTTTAAACCAATAGAAAAAAGAAAAGACTAGTAAAGATGAAGAAAAATAATTAGTATTCTTGAAGAAAGATAAATAGAAAGCAATAAAAAATATAAATAGTAATTTCAACTCTGATGATAATATATAATTAAAAAATCCAGATTCTATAATATATTTTTTCTAATAGGAAGAAACATTGACAGTAACCTAAGAGAATTTAGACAAGATTGTTAAAAATGAGAAAAGGATTAAAAATAAATCAGAGAAACAAAATTTTATAAAAACAGTTAGATTAATATAAAAAATAGCTGATATTATTTAAGAAAAACTGATAAGAAATTGAAAAAGAAAAAGTCAAGAAAATAAGAATGAAAAATCTGAAGAATAATCCAAATATACATATGGTAGAAATTATTAAATTAAATTAGATACAATTAAAAATAACAAATTTAACAATTGAATCAAATTATATGTTTTTATGATTAATATAATTATTTGATACAATTATTTTAACACAATTATTTGATACAATTATTTTAACACAATTATTTTGATATAATTATTTTTATAAAAATTAAATTAATATAATTATTTTATTTAAAATTAAATTGATACAATTATTTTGTTTAAAATTAAAATAAGTTAACTTAATTGTTTTAATTAAAATTAAATTAATATAACTATTTAAATTAAAATTAAGTTAATATAATTATTTTTAATTTTTATAATTAATTTATATATTAATTAATATATTAATTATAAATATTACTTTATTATATGATTGTAACATTCTATATTACAATATGTAATATTTTATATTAAATAAAGTCATAAACAAGACATTATTTATAATTAATAAAGGAAAACTTTATTAGATGTAAGAGAAACCAGACAACTCTATTATTTTTCAAAGAAAAAGATACTTCCTTATATATATGTTTTTTTAATATAAATAAATAAAAT